CCCCCCCCCAGTAGTTTAAAACCAGATTCCCACAAAGCAGCTTTTTTTTTTTTTTTTTGGCACATCAAAGCAACATCTGTAAGGTGGTATTTGGCCACAATGTAAGAGGCCATTTTGGTCCAAAGATTTAAATAGTTGCAAAATTACAAAACAGATAATTTCTCTTGCATCTTAGCTTTGCACCCCAAACTGGTATGGGGTGCCATCGACATCGCAGAGCTGGAGCTAGTGTCATGAAAAATAACGTGAGAGGAACTATGGTTATTTCTTAATGGCTGCCTCGTTTGGCCCTGACACACAAACCGGCTGCACTGGGTGCCCACAAGGTACGATTAAGCCTCTGACGATCCTGATTTTTTGTTAGTGACATGAACGTCATGGCCAGTATTGATTTCCTGTTGCAAGTCACGTTTTAGTGCTCTCCTCTCTTCCTGAGCCATCCAGAGATGATCAGTTAACGGATGTGGTGTCCATTTATATATACCTGGAAGAAAATGTTTTTCTTGTTATAGCACGCAGCTGCCCATGCACAACTGCTTAAATTATTCTTCCCAGAGTATTTTCATTTTTCTTTATGTTTAGCCACCAGTGTAGCTGGAACCACGAGGCCGCAGACAAGTTGGTGCTTCAGCAGGGAAACAATCTGTGCAGCAGGGCAGTTACTGATACTTCAGTTGTTACAACGTAACAGCTGCCCTGGTTGCTTCCTCAACAAAATTAGTTTAATAGTGCAGTTAAACTAGACTGGATTTCCTTGCAGCATGCGGACCCTGTAACCGTCACTAACCAGCTGCTTTCACATTTCTCCCAAATATTTACGGGCCTGCTTCATTTTTACTGAGTTACATGTTTATACTCCCACTCCTCATCCCAGAATGCCTTGTTCTTTGGCTACCATTACATTTTTCCTGGGGGATTTACAATTCTTCACAATTTTTCCTTTTGGCTTTACATTATCAGAAGAAACAGCTTGGGCTGGAATACCTGGCAAGAGCCAGTTCAGAGGCCAAGTGAAATAAGATCCAAATGATGTACGCAGAAATTCTAACTTAATTGGTATAGTAGGTGTACACTGAAATGGAGCTGCTTTGTTTTGGAGCAGCAGTGCAGTCAGTGGTCCTTCAAAGAGGCTCCAGTGAACATTTGCTTCGGTACTTACAGTGGATATTACAAGAAATATACACAGAAATCTGAGATAACTTTAGCATTGCTGCAGCTGAGACCTAATAAGTGACAGCTTCTGATGAATGTTCTCATTTTCAAATGCCTTGGTGTCGTAGCAATAGAATGTGAACCACAGTGCATTGCTTATCTTTATGCTACCCATTCCCCCATTCCCAGTATTGAGGGTTTTCGTCAGTACCCTGTACCAAGTCTGGCATTGTTTTATTTCTACTGTCTGCACTTTGCCTTCCTGATTAGCTCAGAGACTTGTTGCATGAGAAGAGTTCAAAGCCAAAACATGTAACACAAAGCCCAGAGCTTAGCTGTTATCCTAGGGTACCCTAACCCCGTGAGCTCTCATCCACCATCATCTTTACTGAACCAGAGGGTATCCAGGCCTTCGTGTCCCTGCAGTTCAGGCCCAGAGTCTCGCATTTAGCCACAGACAGCTGTTCTTTTCTGTTGCTCATTGTTTCTTTAAGTTGTTTTCTTCCTTGCTTCCTTCCTTGCAAGCAGGTCAGGCTTTCTCAGCCTCTGTTTCTTCCTGGCTTTGCCACGTCTTTCCAGAGCAGCCCCACTGGTTTTAGCTACTGCCAGCATTCTGTTTCAGCCAGAGGCTTTTGTGTTTCTAGCTGGCTGTTTAGTTACTGCTGGGGAAGATGAACAGGTCCTTAGTTCAGCTCTTCTGAGCCGTTTGCAGTGTTTCTGATGAGGTGACTATTACTCATTTCTAGAGACTATTTGCTATTATAAACTGTACAAACAAATCCAAAGTTAATCTGAAACAATTAAGCTCCAGGATGTTAACGGGAGATAGTTAACAAACCTGCTAGATTTGCAGTTGGTTACTTGTGACACCATTCAATTTTCTAGTTCATTTCATGAATTTCCGTTACAAACAACTCATCAACAACTGTGTTGGGTGGCAATTTAGAAATGCCTGCCAGATTCACAGAGCTGGACACACACTGCAGATGTCATTTATACAGAGGTTTGGTCAGACCTCTAGTCAAGCAGCTTTGGCTAGCTGATGTAAAACTTCACTAACTCAGAACAAACAATTATTTCTTGCTACAAAATAATGGAGTGTTTTTTAAATGTTCATCAGTTTGTTTCAGTATTTTCAATATTAAACTATTGGATCTTTCATGTTGGACTGACAGGGAACTCAAGCGTTGACAAGCAGATGTGGGCAACTGCATTCTGTTTTACAGGAAAGTGCACATACCTCTTCTTGTGCAAAATGCTTAGGTTTTTTTTTTTCAATACTAGATTAATTTAATCAGAATGAAGACAGCTATATGTATATACCTAATGCATAAATATGTATTTCAACACGACCTAGAAAACAATAAAACGACTGCAAAAGCAATGTTTTAGCTTCTTTCACAGATGATTATTGAAGACAGAAACACAGTAAAGATATTTTAAGTCATGTCCTTCTGTAAACTAATTCTGCCCCTCTAATCAAGGAATAGAATGGCATAATATCATATGCCAGATGGCATGAATTCAGATTCCTGAGTGGTTTCCATGGCAGCATTTTAGAATAAGTTTCCTGGGCAGTTGCAGATTTCACAGAAGAAGGACAAATGGGTATTCAGTATTGAACTACAGCACTGGAGGTGATAGAAGTGCTGTTTATCCCAATACAGTCCAACAAGAGGGTCACCTCCCAAAACTTTGTCTTTTGCCACATTTTCCTTGTGAGCATGTTATGTACTACACAAACCAAATAATTATGTCTTGAAACCACATTCCACTCAAATAAAGAAATCAACAGAGTCTGCCTTGATCCCATGCAGGCTGTCCTGACCTTGCAAGGTTCTAGAACTGAACAGAGACACATACACAATTGTATCTTATCTTGATAATGGTAATGAAGAGGATAAGCTGGATCCTTAGCCAGTGGCAGGTGGAGTACCTCCACTTCAGTGGGCAGTTACAGTGACATTGGTCATCTGATCACACACAAACTGTGATTTATGAACTGACTCCATTTCCTTGAGAAACAGCTAATGGTGTATTGTTGTTCCTCTGTGATACTAAATGAGACACTGAAGCCCAGAGGCCTTCAGAAGATGCATTTTAAGTTTTCCTTTCTCAGGAACTCTGTGCTTCACTCTGGTATGAAATAAATGGATACTGGAAGCTGGAATTACTTTTTTTTTGTTATTGTTCTAGAAAAGGTTGAGTAGAATGTTGTGGATAGATTGCATGAGAGCGAACAATGACATGAAGATGGTTTATGATGGAAAAAACAGCGTGGTATGAAAATATACATAGCAACCCTCTTTTTACACAGCTATTAAAGTGTTATAAGGATCATTAAAGAGTAATGTAAAACATTTAGCATGGGAGGAAGCAAGCAGGATAGTTTAATATCCTTAGCGAAGCTGCTGTAGAAAAGAGTGACAGACACAGAATCAGAGATGGATGGGAAAATTTTCCTCTAGCTGATGGGTCAGCTGCAGCAAAGGAAAAGATCAACAATTTGCTAGATCATTTGAACAGAGGAGGCGTGACAGAAAGGAAAGCGTTTCACCAAAGCATCTACTGGATCTCACCACCCAAACAGAACAATGCCACTCACTGTGATCTGTAGGACTCAGATAGCCAGGGCTATGTTTTATTAGTGTTGAGAGTGACTACCTGATATGCAATGCATCACCTCTTATCCAGCTAGGCTTAAGGTCTGAGAACAGTTTAATTGTTAAAATATATCCATGTAGACATATCCTTTATATTTGTGGTTGCTGTTTGAAACACAGGCTGTGATCCTGTGGAGGGCTTGCTCTCTGTGTTACTGTTTTCTCCGTACCATATATGTGTCCTGCCGACAAACTGAAAATCCAAAAGATAGTCCAGCTCCTTGTTTGTGCAGCACAGAATAAGGCTTTGATTCTGGTTGGGGGCTCTGCACTCAGTAATTGTTAGTACTTCCAATGACACCATCATAAAATATTCAAATACTAACTTTCTTAATTTTTCTTCAGACATGCATGGAACATTTGTCATCCTGATGCCCCTCAGCCTGATGTTGATGATTTTTGGAGGAATGACTGGATTCATCAGTATTCTTGCCAGGGCCCACCTACTGCTTATAATGACAGGACTGCTTTTTCTTTTTGGAGGTACTATATCAAACTCCTACCTTAACCATTTTAAACAATAAAATATTAATCTGGGAAACATCACTTTGTCTTGCAGGGGAAAAAAGCTAAGCAAGAGTTTGCTTTCACAATAACGCTGGTGTTCATTGACTTGGTGTCTGCTCAGCTCCTGATAGGTTTCTGGAATAGAAAGCTGCCACTTAGAGTCAGGAAAGGCAGATAATCACACACAACCATGCGTCCTTGAGGAGTGAGCCACACTTTGAACACAATGTGTTTGCTGTGCCCATTAACACAAAATATTAAATACCTTCTCAGCACAGTGCCCAAATTCTTTATAGACAGGGTACTGGAGTAACGGAGAAGTGACTTTGCCATTAGTGAAGCATAGGGTTCGATAGCCTTGCACAGATCTCACAACTCCTAAGAACACTGAGGTTTTTTCAAAGGCATTTGCATGTTCCTGAAAAGGGTCTTGCTAGGCATTCCTTGGTTAGCTTCACTGCTAGTTTTGAAGTAGAGTGGTGTCCCCAAACTATGCGTCTCAAAGGGAAACCCCAAAGAGTTATTTTTGTTGGAGTGTAACATTTCATTTTGAAGCTAGTAACATTCTTTTACATTTTGCTTATTATTTTTGCTGTAACCAAAACCTCTGTGTTTTAGAAAGTAATTTATGAATTAAAACTAAAAACATTCTGTGAAAGTAGGAAAACTGGGTTTAAATCCATCTCCATTTACTTCTCCAAATAGATTTTCAGTACTGTTTCACAACGCAACTTGAAATAGAAATTTTCACCAACAGAAAAGGGGATCCTCAGTGTTGGCCCCCATCACCTGATCGTACAGTCCTGTTTCTAAGAAGAGAATGAGAAGAGATTGTTGGAAGCTAATGCTGCTGTCTCAAAGTCTTGGCTGACCTTTTTAGTCTGAAATGCTCTTACAAAGTCCAACCATCCCCCACTATGCTTTTCTTCTGGGAAAAAAAAAGAGTAACTTCTATTTCCTTAGGACATCAGAAAGCTGTACTCACTAAAAAGGCTTAGGCTTTTTGAAAACTACTCCAAACAGCAAGTGAAAGATGAAAAGCCATGAAGTGCAAAGCATGATTATCCTGCTGAGGAGTGGAGCACTGTGCCTTTTTTGAGACACTTGGGGTTGCAAAGAGGGAAAGGGAACACAAAGGCAGTGTTAGGAGAGGGATGCTTGCATATGTTCTGCAGATGCAACGAGTGCTGTTTCCCAGGACAGCATGAGCAGACTGCAGGGTGGCCTTTGGTGTGAGACCAGACCCTCCTCCCACTCAGGCGGTGGCGTTCAGCTGTTTCAGCTGTGCTGAGGCTTGGGGCATGTCACAGGCATGCGCAGTTTTACAGGATATTCCAGTTCCCAAAGTTCGGTATTGATAGTGCTGCCTCCGCAGGAAGAAATATTTCATGATGCAATTTCAGAAAACTGAGTTTTTGAAGATACCAGAACTGATATGTTCCACATCCCAGGACAGCCTACATACTTCCCCATTTTTTTTTGAAATGCAGCCACATTTAAGAGGGATCACAGAACTCAGTGTACCTTGTTGAAAATGTCTAAAAATCAGTCATTTCCATTTCTGCTGACATAAGGTATAGAGAAGTGATTCCCTCCCTCCCCCTCCCCACCCGCAAAGAATGAGAAAAAGGTAGAAGCATCATAGCATGGTTAAAATCAGGCACATGAGTATGAATTTTGACTGTTGGATAACACAATGCACTTCTGCCATGGTTTGTCTTTACTCAAACTTGTCTTCTTTCTGGGAAAAATGCAGACTCATCTAGACTTACACTGTGATTTAACAGAAAGCCACACCAAAATTTTTCTCCCTCAGAATCAGATAAGACACTATCTTGTCCTACAGGTGTTCCAGTATCTACTTTCCCTGGGCTACAGTCTTTTAATCCAGGGCCTTTCTTTTCTGTCTTTCCTGCCACTGATCCAGTAAAGTCATCATTTAGTGTATGTCTAGATATATGTGTGTGTATATATATATATCTATATCTATATGTATAGATGCCAGGCCCAAATTGTAGCATGTACTCGTGCTAGGTGTGCCATTCCTTAAGTTTGCTACCTTCTGTACAGTCCTTTCATTCTGAAAACATCTGGCTTCTTGCTTGAGTGCCTTTATTAATTTATTTTTAGTCTGCTCCAAGGATGTCTTTGGCTCAGGTTTTTGGACGCAATGAATAGTCATGACTCCACAGCATGTGGTGGGAGGTGACAGTAAAGACCAGCACATTTACGTTCGACACTCAAAACTTGCAATACTCAAAATTAGAATCCAGCCTAAATTCAGGTCACTGACCTGAAATGCAAAAATCTCTGTCTCAGTGGGTTTTCTTGCATGGAGGAAGACAACTGTACGTGGTGCACAGCAGTGAGAAATCAGGATGCATTAGAATACAGTATTGAAAACAGAGATGTGCGTGCATTAGTTATCTGTAAAAGACATGACTAGATTTTTATTATGGGAGGCTTGCTGTTATACATTTTGATTCAGTATTTAACAGTGAGAACATGTTAAACTCAATGGACAGAAGTCACCCTCCCTTTACTTCCCTCTCACCCTTCCCCCAGTAACAGTCTCAACTAGATTTCAAAGGCGAACAGAGGCTAACTGGCAATCTGGCCTGGGTCGATAGGAAAGAG